CAGTGATGCTGCGCCATCTACAGCTAAGATGGTGAACAACAGCTCGACCTGGAGCTGGGCTGCCATGAGTCACCGGCGATGGCATAGGCTGCAGTGGGCTGCCATAAGCTATCGTGAGTAGCCGGCAGCCAGGGTGAGCCACCGTGAGTAGCTGTCCAATGGCCGGTGAACGATTGCCTCACCCAGGAAGAGCGCAATGATCACAATACCAACATGGGCCAGTGAAGTGACATCCTCCACAACTAGACTGAGGAACAAAAGGACAGCAACTTTTCTGTTCCCCTTCCCTGATTCCCCAACGCTGTTCCCTCCCCCAATTCTCCAATAAAATCTTAAAAAAAAAAACTATCTGAAGTTTATTATAATATTCATGAACAGGTTCGTCATGCCTTTGTGAGCATGTGTGAATTTTGCTCCAATCAACAGACCTTGGGATAGCCTTAGGAATTGCTCGATGTAGTTTTCAAGCAAGTCCCCTGGTTTCCTCCCAATCGGAGGTTTGCTTTTCTTAATCTCTATCAGGTTGTTTCCATCCAGCAGTTCTCATCCAATGTCTAGCTTGGCCTTTACCAACTAACATTGATTAGCTGATATGAATCAGAAAACCCAGGCCAATGGGCCTGAATAGTAATATCATATTCCTCAGCAAACTTATCAGAGTCCTCAGTTACCTTAGAGAATTCCTTTACAATGGTTTGTTTAACTCACCTTTAGTTTAGGGGACATGGGAGATGGGGGGTTTATTAGGATCTCCAGAAGGTTTAATCTTAAATGGGAAAGTACCGATAAGTTCCAAGGAAGGAGAAAAAGAAGATTCAAGAGAAGGTGCTGCTGGGGGCTGAGTTGAAAGTGGAGGTAGCAGTGAGAGACAAGATGGCGGAGTTTGAGACAAAACAGCAGTGGGGGAAGGGCAAGGCAGTGTTGTAGAGAAAGAGCATGAGCTTTCAGGTGCCATTCTGTCTCTTGAATTTTTAGCAGCCCTTGTTAACTTTGAGACATTATTTTGTAAATGGGCAACTTTAGATTCATAGCCTTGTTTGGAAACATCAATATACCACTCAAAATAGGCATTCCATTCCTTTTTCTTAAGTACAATGCTGTTATCCAATTTCATTTTAAGAAAATCAAGTTTGGGAATCTCAAAAGTTCCCCAAAATGGCTACTGATTTTCTAAGTTACTCTTAGTCAGATCTGTCCATTTAAATACGTGCATGAAAATTCCCCACGGGTTTTAAACATATACTTGGCTGGTGTCCCTGATGGAGGTGGGACAGTTGTAGAAGGCTTAGACCGCAGAGATCCCATTTTTAATACTGGGCCCAAAACAGTTCACAACTCGAGCAACCTTCAGGTCTTCAGCTCACCTCACTCCGGAAAAGTATGATCACTGAGAACCAGACCGAAGGCTAAAAGCCAGTTCCAGGGAAATAACCAATCCTCGGGGAGTTAAGGGTGAGCTGGGTGGCACTCTTCTCACTTTTCTTTTTTTTTTTGTTTTTTTTTTGTTTTTTTTTAAGATTTTTATTGGGGAATTGGGGGGATGGGAACAGTGCTGGGGGATTGGGGAAGGGGAACAGACAAGTTGCTGTCCTTTTGTTCTTCAGTCTAGTTGTGGAGGACGTCGCTTCATTTGCCCAAGTTGGCA